CATGTGTGTGTGTGTGTGTGTGTGTGTGTGTGTGTGTGTGTCTGTGCTTGCAATGTTTCAGAAGAGGGTTACATTTTCTTTTAAGGAATAATAATTTAATCAAGTTTTGTAAAAAGCCTATGGTCCTGAGAGTATTTCACCTCACTTATTGGTAGTCCTCTGACTTAGTTTCCTCTTTGAAGGAGATGTGTTTCTCCTGTGGTTCTGCTTTTTTCATTGCTGCCGCAGGTAGACATAAACTAGAGATTATAATTGAAATGAGCATCTGTAGGACTCCACTCAACCAGTATTGAGTGGCCGGAAGCAAATATGCAAGGCCCTGCCTGCAAGAATTGAGAGGGTGCAGAACTGCAGGGGTTGACAGAATAAAGAAAAATGAATGTGGAAAAAAATATAATGCAGCGGTGGGAGGGTTAGGGACAAAAGAGTTGCATTAGTTCATTGAACATCCTTAAGCAACAGAGAGATAACTATGAATAATCTTCAGCCCTTGCCCCCAAGAAGCACCATCAGGATAGGTAACATTCTTTTTTTAAATTATTTTTTTCAATACAGATTGCATTCAATCTTATTCTGTATCAGTTTCAAATGTACAGCATAGACAATCACGTACTTTACAGAGTGGTCCCCCGATACTTCAAAAACCCACCTGGCCACATGCATAGTTATTAGCCATTACTGACTACATTCTCTAGGCTGTGTCATTTACATGTGTGGGACCATTCTGTCCATTACACTTCAGTGGGAACTGGAACCAGACCTCTTTGCCCAGAGCTGGGAGGAAAGAGCGCTTATGCTCAGGCCGCCGGCGGGGCGCGGGAGGATTGGGGGGAGGGAAAGAAACTTCCCTCCTACTTTAACTCATCCAGGGGCCCATTCCGACCACGGGGCTTCGCCGCAGGACCTCAGTCTCCTGTCAATCATCTCCTCCACCCCGCCCACCAGTTCCTGAGCGGGGAGCCGGGAGGGGCGGGGCCCGTTCCGCCCGGCCCGCTAACCCCGCCCCTTTCCTTAGGTCAGCTTCCCGCGAGAGCGCGACGTCACTCGGATCACGCGCAGACCTCCCCCTCGGGCGCCTCGGGCCCCGCCCCCCATTTGTGCCTCGGCTGTTTGGAAACACCATGGAGCTCCGGGAGGCCGCGCGGCGCGGCGCGTCGCCCGGGCAACCGGGCACGGTGAGGCCCTTCCAAGGCGGCGGCGGCGGCGTGGCGGATGCGATGATGTCCAACCCGGAGCACGGCCTGCCCTTTCTCCCGGGCTCGTCCTTTACGGACTCCACGGTGAGGACTTACCCGCCCAACCCCCACCTAGCTACCTGCCCCCACCCTTGGGAGGCTTCGGAGGGCCCGCGGCTTAGTGCGCCTCCTTTCTCCTCCACCCAAGACCGGCCTCTCTCCCTTCAAACCCGCCCTCCGCCCGGACCCTGTTGTTTAGTCCCCGCCGCAGTTCTGTCTTCCTCCCCCGCTCATCCCCAGCCTCCCCCTCCGGCCATTCATCCGCCGCTCCATCCCGTCCTAATTTTCCCTCTCCACCCCGACAGCCTGTGGGTCTCTTTCGCGCGGTCTGTTGGCGTAGCCGTGCTCTTCCTCGCCCTCCCTCGCCGCTCTAGCCCCCGCTGCTTCTCCCTGTAGGTCACCGTTTCTCCATCTTTCTCGCAAGCTCTCGAAGTCCTCTCCCACGCTCGTTCTCCCACCCTGTGCCCGCGCAGCTCCGTGATGAACCGCCTACACCTGCCCGCTAGCCTCTGCTGCTCCCGCTCAGCACCCCCACAGCCTCAGCCCACCCTTTCTCCCCAGGCCCTTCCTTCTCTCCCCGCCGCCGCCTCCTGAATTCTGGACACAGTAATCTTTCTCGCCCCCAGCTCCATTTCCCGTCTTCCATGTCATTTCCACGCAGCCTCTTCTTCCCACCAGGTGTTTTTCCACAGTCTGCACTCTCGTCATTTTATGCTTCTACCCAGCCCCTTCCCTTTTCTGTCCAGCACCTTCTGCCTTTTCTATAAATTGGTCCCACCTGCTCCCCATTCCGGTTTTATCTTCTTTCTCAATTGTTTCTCTCAACACAGGCCTATCTTCCTCCCAAACCACCCTTCCCTGCTTTGTAGAACATAATTCCATTCCAGTCCCTTCACGGCCACCACAATTGATTAACTTTTTTCTACCCCTAGCCCTATTATTTTCACTCTGACATTTTAATAAAAGATTCCTATTTAGGTTATGTTTTGCCCTTTCCTGACTATAAATGTATTTCGTTGCATTCTCTAGACAAAATTGAAGAGAGGAAAAAGTTTTTTTTCCCCTAACATAGCTTAGCCCTTGACAAAGTTATTTAGTATTTTAATTCTAATAGGGTTACTGAAATATATGCTGGAAGATCAATATTGAGATTCAGTAGGCTGATTATTATAGATGAGGCAATAACAATTTATATTTATATGGTTTAATTTAAGCTTTAAGTTCCTCTCCATGGTCATAAAGGTGAGATGAAATACATAGTCAATTTATTTTTGGTGGGAGAGAATGAATTGAAATTGAAACTTTGGTGAGGGAATTTAGATTCTGAATATCTTCTCCAAATTGTTCCTGCATTAAGACACAGCATCATGGGTTTTTCTATGTGCTGTTGGTACATTCCTACCCTGTGCAGGAGCAGCCTAAACATTTGGTGGTGTTAAGTGTGGATTACCCACGTGGCAGGGTTGAGTTGATAAGGAGAATTGATTACAGGTGTGAACTGGAGGTGGCAGGGTTGATTTGATAAGGAGAATTGATTACAGGTGTGAACTGGAGGTGCCAGGGTCTAAGAACATACTGCCGTACAACGAGTAAAGTGAACTATGCATTGGACTTATTTCATATTTTAAATATATTGGGCGAATATCAACTGATTTGCTTTATTTGAAGTTTGAAAAATATGGTTACTGTCTTCAGCACTGAAGGACTACATGTGTATAACTCTCACTGCATTTGGAACCATAATGACTAAGCAGGGTGGGGAGGCCTTGGGTTGCTTATGAGGATCCACTAATAAAGGTCATGTTGAGTGATGGTAGCGATGTCTTTGTAAAACAGGGAAAGCAAATGAAGCAGCTGATGTTGCTTCTGTCTTTAAAGGTGGAAGAAGAAGAGCTTGGAGTTACACAAATTACCTAGACAAGAAGTCAGCTCAGCCCGTTGTGTTCTATGTCATGTGTGTGATGCATCTGGAGCAGCTCTTGTCAGCTGACTTGTGACCCTGAATGTGTGGCCAAAAAATAAATCTATGATCCATAACTCTTTTAGCAAAAGAAGTTTACTTTATTGTACCTTTTTATGTTAGTTCAGATGTTGAAAGATGGTAGGTTGGGCTGCAAACAAATTAGGAGGTAGGTAAGTAAGCCATTTTCATAAAAAATACAAAGATTTATCCTAAGTTTAATGAATATGTGTAATATGTATGTTTATTTGTGTGTGTGAGTATGTATACACATACATGCACATATGATTTTGAAAGCAACCCACCATTACAAAGAACAGAAAAAGGAAAAAATACTCCATCAACTTAAACCTCTAATTTTTCCTTCCATTTCCCCCCCCCAGCTTTACTGAGATATAATTGATACATAATATTGTGTAAATTTAAAATCTGCAACTGGCTGATTTGATACACATATTTTGCAAAATGATTACCACCACAGTTTTAATTACTATGGCTTTGTAATATACAAGCTACAGTTGACCCTTGAACAACTCAGGGATTACTGGTGCACACATCCTGCACAGTTGAAAATTTGCCTGTAACTACACTTGGCCCTCTGTATATATGGCTTCCTAACCACAGAATTGACCCTTGAACAATACCAGTTCGAACTGCAAGGGTCAATTGAAAAAAATCACATGTAAGTGGACCTGTAACATTGCAAACCTGTGTTGTTCAAGGGTCACTGTAATTTGAAATCAGGAAGTGTGGTGCCTCCAGCTTTGTTGTTCTTTCACAGCATTGCTTTGTCTATTCAGGGTCTTTTGTGGCGCCATACAAATTTTAGGATTTTTTTCTATTTCTGTGAAAACTGCCATTGGAATTTTGATAGAGATTGCATTGAGTATGTAGATTGCTTTGGATATAAAATACTAAATTTTCCAGCCATGAACACAGGTTATCTTTCCATTTGTTTATGTCTTCAATTTCTCTCATCAAAGTCTTATACTTTTCAGTGCACAGATCTTTTACCTCCTTGATTAAATTTATTCCTAAGTATTTTATTGTTTTTCATGCCATTATGAATGGGATTGTTTTCTTTATTTCTTTTTCAGATATTTCATTGTTAATGTATAGAAACACAACTGATTTCTGTATGTTGATTTTGTATCCTGTAACTTTACTGAATTTGTTGATTAATTCTAACAGTTTTTTTGATACAGTCTTTAGAATTTTCTAAGTGTAAGATCATATTATCTGCAAACAAAGAGAGCTTTACTTCTTCCTTTCCTACTTGGGTGCCTTCCATTGCTTTTTCTAGTCTGATTGCTCTGGCTAGGACTTCCAGTACTTTGTTGAATAGGAGTGGTGAGAGTGGGCATCCTTGTCTTGGTCCTGTTCTTAAAGGAAAAGCTTTCAGTTTTTCACCGTTGAGTATGATGTTAACTACCTATGCGCTTGTCACATATGTCCTTTACTGTGTAGAGGTATGTATGTTTCTTCTATACTCAGTCTATGGAGAGTTTTTATCCTGAATGGATGTTGTATCGCTTTTTATTCAGCTATTGAGATGATTGTATGATTTCTATCTTTTATTCTATTAATATGGTGTATCACATTTATTGATTTGCATGTGTTGAACCATCCTTGCATCCCAGGGATAGATCCCACTTGATTGTGGTATATGATCCTTGTAATGAGCTGTTGAATTTGGCTTACTAATATTTTATTGATAATTTTTGCATTTTATTTCTTCAGGGACATTGGTCTGTAATTTTCTTGTCTGTTTTGGTATTAGGGTATTTTGGCCTTATAAAATTAATTTGGGAGTGTTCCCTCCTCCTCAGTTTTTTGGAAAAGTTTGAGAAGGATTTGCATTAATTCTTCTTTAAATGTTTAATAGAATTCACCAGTGAAAACATCTGGTCCTGGGCTTTTCTTGTTGGTTGATTTTTTAAAAATTTATTTTTAAAAAATATATCTATTGATTTCAGAGAGAGGAAAGGAGAGGGAGAGAGAGAGATAGAAACATCAATGATGAGAGGGTCATTGATCAAGCGTGCAACCAGGCATGTGCCCTGACCGGGAATCAAACCCCGATCGCCTGGATCCTAGGTCGATGCTCAACGTCTGAGCCATGCCCGGCCGGGCTCTTGTTGGTTGATTTTTGATTACCGATTCAAGCTCCTTATTCATTATTTATCTGTTCAGATTTTCTATTTCATGATTCATTTTTGGTAGGTTGTATGTTTTTAGGAATTTGTCCATTTATTTTCAGTTACCCAGTTTGTTGGCATATACTTGTTAATAGTAGTCTCTCATGATCCTTTGTATTTCTGTGGTATCAGTTATATCTCCTTCCATTTCTATTTTTATTGATTTGAATCCTCTTTTTCTTAGTTTACCTAAAGGTTTGTCGGTTTTGTTTTACCTTTTCAGAACACCTGCTCTTAGCTTTGTTGATCTTTTCTGTCATTTTTCTGTCTCCATTCCATTTATTTCTGCTCTGATCTTTGTTATTTCTCTCCTTTTGCTAACTTTGTGCTTAGTTCTTTTTCTAGTTTCTTGAGGTGTAAAGTGAGGGGGCTTATTTGAAATTTTTTCCCACTTTTTAAAATTTTATTTTTCAATTACAGTTCACATGTAATATTATATTAGTTTCAGACATACAGTGCAGTGATTAGACATTTATATACTTTACTAAGTAATTACCCCAATAAGTTTAAGTATGCTTATGACACTGTAAATGTAGATTTTTCTTCATTTTTAATGCATACATTTATTGCTATAAAAATTCTCTCTTAAAGCTGCTTTTGCAGCATCCAAATGGTTTTCATGTTGTGCTTCTATTTTTGTTTGTTTCAAGGTATTTTTTAAATTTCTCTTTGATTTCTTTGATCTATTCGTTGTTCAGGAGTGTTTTGTTTAATTTTGACATATTTGTGAATGAATTTTTCGGCTTTCTTTCTGTTATTTCATGTCATTGTGGCCAGAAAAGATACTTGATTTTAATCCTCTGAAACTTGTTTTGTAACCTATCATAAATATTCTGAAGAATGTTCTATGTGTACTTGAGAAGATTGTGTATTCTGCTGTTGGATGAATTGTTCTATATGTGTCTATTAAGTTCATTTCATCAAAGTATGGTTCAGGTCCAGTGTTTTCTTGTTGATTTTCTATCTAACTGATCTATCCATTGTTGAAAGTGGAGTATTGAAGTCCCCTACTATTATTGTTTTATATAGATATATACATATACATATATATACACACACATATATATATATTTCTCTCTTCAGATCTGTTAGTATTTCCTTAATATATTTAGGTGCTCTGATGTTGGGTGTATAAATATTTATAGTTGTTATATCTTCTTGATTAATTGACCAGCTTTTTATATAATGACTGTCTTTGTTTCTCGTTACCATTTTTGGCTTAAAATCTATTTTTTCTAAGTACAGCTACCCCAGCTTCCTTTTGGTTTCCACTTGCATGGAATATCTTTCCATCCCTTCATTTTTAGCCTATGTGTGGCCTTAAAGCTGAAGTGAGTCTCTTGTAGGCAGCATATAGTTAGGTCTTTTTTTTTTTAATCACCCAGATTGCCTTTTGATTGGAGATATCAATGTATTTACATTTTGTGTAATTATCGATAGGTAAGGACTTATTAATACCATCTTTTGTTTTTCTGGCTGTTTTGTAGTTCCCTTGTTCATTTATTCCTCCCTTGCTACCTTCCTTTGTAAATTGATGATTTTCTGTAATGGTATGCTTTGATTCCCTTCTCTATCTTTTGTGAATCCACTGTAGGTTTTTGCTTTGTGGTTACCATGAGGCTTACATAATGCATATATTTATATAAAACAGTCTATTTTACACTAATAACAATTCAACTTTTATCACATATAAAAAGTCTACCCTTTTGCTCTCCTCCTTCTATGTTTTTGATGTCAACATTTACATTTTTTAATATTCTGTATCCATTAACAAATTATTGAAGCTATAGCTGCTTTTAATACTTTTATCCTTTAATCTTTATACTGAAGTTAAGTGTTAACACATCACCACATTACAGTATTAGGGTATTCTGAATCTAACTATATGCTTACCTTTATCTGTGTATTATGTATTTTCATATTACAAATTAATGGCTTTTTATTTCAGCTTGAACTACTTACAGTATTTCTCTTAAGTTTAGGGATGATGAATTCTTTTGTTTATTAGGGAGAGTCTTTATGTCATCATTTCTGAAGCACAACTTTTTTGGGTAAAATATTCTTGGTTGGCAGTTGCTCTCTTTCAGCATTTTGAATATATCATCCCCTTCTCTCTTGGCCTGCAAAGTCTCTGCTGAGAAATCTGTGATAGTATTATGGAGGTTCCCCTGCATAAGCGGTTTCTTTTTGCTTTTACAGTTTTAAAAAATTCTATCTTTGTATTTGATTTTAGACAGTTTTATTATGGAAGATTACTTTGGTTTGAAATTTTGGATGACCTAGTAGCTTCATGAACTTAGATATCCAGTTCTCTCTCCAGGTTTGGGAAGTTCTCAGCCCTTACTTCTTTAAATTAATATTCTACCCCTTTCTCCCTGTCTTCTCCTTCTGAGACTCCCAAGATACGTACATTATTTCTCTTATTAATATCCTGTAAGTTCCATAGGCTTTCTTCATTTTCATTCTTTTTTTTTTTTTTGGCCCCACTGATTGGACAATTTTAATTGATTTGTCTTCTAGCTTACAGATTCTTTCTTCCACTTGTTCAAGTCTTCTGTTAAAACTACTATTGAATTCTTCATTTCAGTCATTTTATTCTTCAGCTCCAAAATTTGTTTGGTTCTTTTTAATGTTTTCTATCTCCTTGTTTAACTTCTCATTTTGTTCTTGTATCGTTTCCCTGATATCATTAAATTATTTATCTGTGTTCTATTGTAGCTCTTTGAACATATCTTTAAGACAATTACAGTAAACCTTTGATTTTGCAGACCTCAATTTAATGGACTTTGGATTTAATGGACCAGATTTCTAGTTCGTATGCCATGTGTGAAATTAACACTCTGTTAATTTTAAAATGTTTTTAACCATGACTTCCTTATAATTAAATTAACAGGTTATTTTTTTGTTATTAATTCACTGTTATTTTTAACAAATTTTAGGAAATAGGCCATATGTTGGATAAAACACTGTAGTAATTTTGCTGACATAAGTAAATATTACATATCTACAATAGTCTACTATTTAAATCTAAGAGCCACCACTCATAAACAATGTTCAGTGAATACTTAGCATGTGGTCACACTGCATCGCCAGTGGTAATTGGTTCTGTTGTCCTGAGGTGGCAGTTTTAATGGTGCTGGCCTGTGTTCCCATGTGCACTAAGCCACGCCCCAGGTGTGTGCATGTTTTACTCGTGACTGGTGAATACACACATTTACTAGCCTATTCAGTATAAATTTAAAATTACAGTAATACAGTATAGAAAACTTTTCTGTGAAATTAAACCTTTCATACATATGTAATTTTAATTACACAAATATGTCTACATAAATAAAAACAAGGAAAGTAATTTGTCAATTTTTAAACATACACATTTGGAAAACCTACTTTATTGTATAACAGACTTTCGGCTTTAACAGACACTCCCTTGCTCAAGTTAGTCTCTTCTATTGAGGTTTACTGTATTTTGAGTTTTTTTTATTAGGCAATTTCTGGTTCTTCATTTTTGGGGGACCAGTCACTTACGTTTACTATCTTCTTTTGGTGGAATCACGTTTTCCTGATTTTTCATGATCTCTGTAGTCTTGCATAGGTATCTCCACATTTTAAATAGAGTCACCTCTGCCAAACTTTATGGACTGACTTTGGTAAGGGAATAGTTTCACCTGCTGGTAGGGGGTATGCTTAAGGATGCTGTGGGCACCAAGTGTGGGGGTATGCAGCAGTACTGGGGCTGGCAGGGTTGTGGGTGGGTATGATGTCACTTCAGCTCAGGCCACTGGGGTCTACAGCATTACAACTGTGTGGTTCTTGGCAAGCAGCGTAGGCTTTATGCAGTGGCAACAAGGGCTATTTGGGCCTTCATTGGCACCTCCAGGTCCAGCAGCTTGGGACCAAGGCAGCCAGCATTGGTGACCCAGAGCCAATGGTGTGCACATACTTAGCTTCCGGGGGCCAAATGCAGGTATCAGTATAGTGGCAGGGGCTGTTTGTAGACTCATGCATTGTGTTGGGGGCCAGTGCAGGGAGCAAGGTCTGGGGCCAACTGTGGACTCACTGGCCTGTACAGAGGCCCTGCTTGTCAGCATGCTCTCTGTGACTGCATACTCTTCAGGCGCACACTGTTCCCTGGGCATGCACACTGCAGGGGAGACCTGTGATGGGGGTCAGATGAGTTACATGCAGGTGCACAGCTGGAAGGGCTAGCTCCAAGCTCATGCACGGCACTGGGAGTCAGCCAGTGGCACGGGAGGTGTCTTATGCTGGGATCTTATGCTAGACCAGCTGCAGAGACCTGAGCTGGCTACATCTGGCCCGGATATGGGAAAGGGGGAGTGTGGAGGGACTCAGGTGTCAGCAAGCATGAATACCTGTGGGATGAAATCTGCAGGGAGTACACAGTGGTTACAACTATACTTGCTATTGGCTTCCGGTAAGTGGCAAAATCTGCTGGGTTTGTCCACTGAGCAGTTCTCTGTGAACCCGTCATTCCCACTTAGTGGGTGCTGCCAGCAGCTTCTGCTTTTCTTCCATGTTCCTACCTGGCTTTATATACTTCAGCTTTGCTGGTCTGGGTTGGTGAAACTGGTTGCTCACCCTCTGCTCTTTCTGGCAAGGGGAACTCTTCCTAGCTGGGCAGCTCCCTCTTGGGGCTGAATAATGCCAGCTTTGGGGATGGGATGATGCTGGCAAAATGAAGTTGTCTTCCTTCTCGTGAGATTATTGTCAAATTTTTTTGTTCCACTGTGTTGCTAAAACCTCCTGAGTAGACTCTAGAGCTCTTCAGAGCTGTTTTTTGTATATGGGTAGCTGTCTAATCATTGATCTTTGTGAAGGCACGGGGATACTAGGGGCTCCTGTGTCACCATTTTAGTCTCTTCTGTCTTCAAAATTATATCCTTTATGCCTTTTTCTTATTTAATCTTTTGTGTGTCTTTTTCCAATTACCAATAAAAACGAATTCATTGGAAAAAAGTAGACATAATTCAGAAATGTATAATGACAGAGAGCATTCATCAAATCTAGCCTCTTTTCAGGCATGTGTAATTGTAGTACACATATAATTTCATATGCTGCTTTTGGGGGCTTATTAAACATCTCCCCCAGATTGCCACATGGTCTTTAAAACCAGTATTTTAATGATTGCATAATAATAGTCCACTGAGTGAGTTTTCCATCATTTACTCATATGCTTGTCTTTTCTATTTCCAATGTTTTTACTGTTTGAATTAACATTATAATCGTCAATTTTAGGCATATTTTTTCTAATAATTTTTGGATTATATCCTTAAGATAAAGGATTGAGGTGGGATTACTGAGTTCAAGACTTTAAATATATAATATCTACTTTCCAAAGAGTTGTGTGAATGTATGAGTGTCATTATAACAAGAAAGGTCTTTCACTTCAGGTACAAATTTATTTCACAGAAGCAGCTCTTACAGTTCCACGATTTCTGGCCACTAGATGAAAGAAATGGGAATACTAGTGAAAAATTAGTATTTTAAAAAACTAAAATGAATATTTTAGTTTCTCATGAGAAGTGAGCTGGTAATTAATTGGGTGTTCTGGAGCAGGACTTTATGTTTTAAACTCAGGATGCTGCTTCCCTCCTTGTTTCTGGCCAAATGCTTTAGCTTAACATATGAGAACTTTATAATATAGTTATACTGTTTGATAGAAGGTTTGTGATGTTTATAAGCAAAAATTTAAGTTACGATATTTTTGAAAGTTATCCCTTTTACCTAACAAACTTTAATGACACACTTCTTTTCTTCTTTAGAAAACAGACTTTCACAGGAGCCAGACACTGAACTACAGGCATGGCTATGCAATGGCTCGTCGTCCAACCGTTGGGATAGGCGGGGACCGGCTCCAGGTCAACCAGCTGTCCCAGGCTGACCTGGATGAGTTGGCCAATAAAGCACCACTTCTAACTTATGGCGAACCTAAACCAGCTCCACCTGCGGATTTTATTCCTGCGCATGTGGCTTTTGACAAAAAGGTACCATCTGGGATTTTAGCGTATCCCTTGAATTCAAATTTCTGAGAGCCAACTGTTTCTAGAAAAGTCAACAATAAACCACAGGTTTTCCAGAGTACTCTGGGGAGAAAATTGTTCAAATGCCTCAACCCTTAATCATAGACAGCTGAACGCAGGATTGAAAAGGCCTTTCCTTAGTCAGGAAGCTGATTATAGAAAATAATTCCCCATAGACTTCACTGAAATAGTTTCCAAATACAATTATGGAAAAGTTGGATGAATTCCATGTTCTTGAGTTCATATTGCTCTATATTTACCTGCTCTGTGTTTCCTACTTTTTGAAAGTTTTATATTCTGTAATGGTGACAAATCCTTAATCTCCATGAAATGCAAGATATCATCATGACAACAACTCCATCTGTTGTCAGTTTTCTCCGGGCTGTCACCATAAGTTTCCATCTTTCAGGGACCATCTGGGGCTTGGCATGGCATAACCAAAGGGTGGAATAACATTGTGTTTGTGTCTCATTTACCCTTATGCTTTTTGTAGTGGGAGTCACCTAATTTCCATCTGTTGACATTTCCACATCATCCTCGGTTTTCCTGGTCAGCGAGTCTCCTCTTTTCACTAAGGCGAGGTAGTCCTAACTCTGGCTATGCAGTGGAATCACTGATGGGACTTGTTTCCCCCCCCCCTCACTTGAGGGTATGCTTTTTATTGATTTTTAAGCGGGGGAGGGGGGCAGAGAAACATTGGTCAGTTGCCTCCTGTATGCACCCTGGCTGGGGATCACAACTTAGGTATGTGCCCTGACTGGGAATTGACCCTCAAAACCTTTTTTTATACAGGATGATGCTCCAACCAACAGCCACACCATCCAGGGCACTGATGGGACTTCTAAGAAACTTAGATGCTTCCCTAATCCTCAACGATTCTGATTTCCAGTGATTTTTACATATAACTAGGTCTGAGAACTACTGACCAGTTTTTATTTTTTTTAATCCTCACTTGAGGATATTTTTTCCATTGCTTTTCAGAGAGAGTGGAAGGGGGAGAGAAATAGAGAGAGAAACATCAATGTGAGAGAGACACATCGATTTGGTTGCCTCCTGCACGTGCCCCAACTGGACAGGGCCTGTAACTAAGGTATGTGCCCTTGGCCGGAATTGAACCCCGATCCTTCAGTCCAAAGGCCGACTCTCTAACCACTGAGCCAAACTAGCTAGGGCTACTCACCAGTTTTTATAAGTTACCTTTCCTAATTTATGCCTAGCCTATTTTTTTTCTTTTAATTTTATTATTTTTGTTCAATGCCTATACCATTTTCATCCAGCTAGTCAACTTTTTTTGAGTACCTATTGAAGCTGGGGATTGGAAGATACAAAATAGTCTGGTGGTCCTGGCCAGTGTGGCTCCATTGGTTGAGCATTGTCCTGTACATCAAAAGGTCATCAGTTCACTTCCCAGTCAGGGCACATACCCAGGTTGTGGGTGAGATCCCTGGTTGGGGTATATGCAGGAGCAACCAATCGATATTTTTTTATCACATCAATGTTTCTCTCTTTCTCTCTCTCTAAAAAAAAAATCATTAAAACATATGTTTTAAAATATTAAAGTAATCCTGTATAAAAAATAGTCTGGTGGTAGAACTGCCATTTACATTAATAATCACTTAATTTAAACAATTTCTAGTGTATCAGCCAGAATCAATATAATCCCCTCTTCCCCATCTCAGTTATCACATTTGATAGGAACAATTCACATATCCATTCATAGGCTAAACCTAAACATTCACTAAATGCTATCAGTTATACTTTGGATGTTTACTTGTTTCTCTTCTTTATTCACAGCTGTGACAGGCACTGCAAAATCAGTAGATAAGGGAGAGGGGTGAAAATACAAGAGAGGAGTGGGATAGGTATTTAACAGTTTATCAAGTTATAAATCCTGGTAGGCTTGATTTTTATTGAGGGGGAAAAAAAGCAAATAACATAAACTGGAAAGTGATAAAGTCACATATGTCATGAGAAAGTATTAATGAAATGCAGAGAGGGATAAATTGTATCTGAATAGGAAATAGGCTTCTTATTTTTTTTGTTTTTCTATGTTATTTATGATTATTGTCATTACTTAATTTATGCTTTTAAAATAGTATTCATAGTTCATTTTTAAAAGATAGTGGGCATGAAGAAGTATACTTACATTTTAATTTTCCTATTCATTTTACTTGGATCACCAAAATTTCTAGATAAATAATTCTTACCTTGGTTAATAAGGTAAAGAGTAGTTAAATGCATGGTTTTGAAACTAAGATTTTATTTTATTTTTTTGCAATAGGGAATTACAGTTTCTTTAATTAAATATTTTAATTTTTTTTAGGAATACCCAATAGTCTCCTTAATAGCCAACTTATTTGTCCATATTTCAGACATTGTGCTGCCCCTCATCTTTAGATAATAACTTCATTCCTCACGCTGGTGACAATGACCAGGACACCTGTTGTGAGCACCCTCACCTTTTCTCTCTGCTCCCACAGAATTCTCATTTTCACCCACTGTATTCTGCTTCCCAAGCCCACGTCCCACTCCCTGTTCCTGGTACTGCTATTCTTTCATCTTTTCAATCTTTAACTTTCATTCTACTTCCATTTCAAACAGTAAGTACTCTTTTACCCAGGATCATACTATCCTGTCCTAAAAAACCTTTCTGCCCTGTGAGCCCTTTAAGCAACTTTTCCACTTAACTGTCAGATCACTTACAATGTGATTTCTCTCTGCCCTCAAGGCCAGAACTTTTTCCCCCCAGCATTCTCTTTGACCTGTTTGCAATATTTGCCATTGTTGACCTCTCTTCCTTCTGGAAACTTTGCTTTTCTTTTGCTCCATTCACTCTTCAGTCTCCTGGTTTTCCTCTATCTGGCTGCTCCTACACTGGCCTCCCTTTCTCCTCTCATTTTTAACTGTAAGCATTTTAAAGGGTCTGTACTCATTCTTTATTTTATATTCTTCAGAGATCTCACTCACTTTTGTGGTTTCAGCTGTCATCTCAATGTAGACAACTGTCAATATTTCCAATTCTGACCTCTTCGAAAGGGCCACGGGTTATCTTCACCTGGATGAGCTGTGGGCACCTCAGGTTCTGTATGTCTTTCACCCAGATCATCACCTGTTCTCATAGATATGTTCTTTCTATATGGCTCCACTAGGTAATGAAAGCTTGAAACCCAAGCCATTTTAGGCTTTTCTTCCCCTTTGGTAAGTTGCCAAGTCAAGTATCTCTCACTTCCATTTCCTCTACCACTATCTTAGTTCAAACAAGCAATATGTTAATTGTTAACATATTATTAACCATTGTATTAGTCCCATATTTGTGTTTTATGCTCATAACATTTCCAGTGCTTGGTTTATTCTCCAAAGCACATTATGTCATTTTTCTGTGAAAATGCCTTCAGACTCTTAACCAGTACAGTAAAGATTACCACCATCTACCTTGCTGCTGTAGTCCTCCAACTTGAAAGTCATCCTTCATTCTTCTTTCCCCTCACAACCCATATCCAGTCTTAACAAGATCTGTCATTTCCATCTCTAAAATATATAACTAATTTTTTCATTTATTTCCGTCTCCATTACAATTCATTTTCCAAGGAGCAGCCAGCCAGACTTATCTTTTAAACATAGATATCAGATTATGTCGCATATTTACCTAAAACATTTTTTATGGCTTTCCCAGTGTGTAGACTAACTCAACTCTACAGGTTCCTCACACCTACTGGGTCTGAACCCCCTGCTGTTTCTCCAACCTCCTCTTGGGCTTGTCTTTTTCTTACCCACTATGTTTCAATCACAGTAGATCTATTTTCCTTATTCTCTCGAAACTGGAACACATTTCCTATTACAGGGCCTTTGCACATGCTGTTTTCCCTACCTGGACTAGCTTTCCTGTGATTGGTACTCAATAAATACTAGTTTAAAAAATGAGATGAATTATTTTTTAACAAAATTAACATATCATCTGTGTCACTGCTGTAAATTGGGAAGCTTATCATAACAGAAATTTTAAAAATCAATCCCAAAGCATGCCAACATAAGCTTTTTATAATATTTTTAAATTTTTTAAAAATATATACTAGATGTGCTATTTTGACTTCACACTAATAGTGATGCTCTCCAGAGGACCTAGGGCTTGCTCTATCATATATATTTCTGAGCACAATTTATATGCCACCCATGGTGGATTCTGTGATGGATTAATGATTCGAGAGTTACTCATATAAAGTTTTTAATAATGAATATGTCATTAGTATGCATTTACAAGGGACTCCACTTCTAAAGAAATGGACTTGAGTCTTTGTTTTCATTTTGAAACCAAAAATCATAGTCTTATCCAAATGTCTTACTTTTTCCAAAAATTCTTAGAAGGATTTTTGACATGGACACGAAGCTAGTAGAGTCAAGTTCTTTAGGCTATCTCATCAAGGAATACATTAGTAAATAGTCTACACAAAGTTTGAGCATTTAGCGCAGAGGCCAGCAAACTCTTTCTGTATTGGGCCCATAGATAAAGAGCTTCACAGATAAGAAAAAGCTAAAGGAGTTTATCACCAGCAGACCAGCACTACAGGAAATGTTGAAGGATCTTCTTTAAGAGGAAGCTAATGAACAAGAGACTCCGATGAACTAAATAGATCCAGAGACATTGTCGCATGCAACAGACGATCATATTTCAGAGGGAAGGGGGGTGGAGGATGGGAAGAGATTAACCAAAGAAGTTATATGCATAACCCATGGACACAGACAGTAACGGGGTGAAGGCCTGGGGAGGGGGTGGGAGCGAAGTAGAGGGGGTCAATTGGGGGGGAAAATGGGACACCTATAATACTCTCAACAATAAAGATAAATTAAAAAAAAAAAAGGTTACTGAAACCCTATACTCTTAAACTGAAAAAATAAAAAAATTTTGGGTTTTGTAGCTGTCTTTGTTTGCTTGAGCTGCTATAATAAAATACCACAGACTGGTGCTTTAACAATAGAACTTTATTTTCTCACTGTTCTGGTGGCTAGAAGACCAAGATCAAGCTTCTTGCTGATTTGGTTTCTGGTGAGGGCTCTCTTCCTGACTTGTAGACATCTGCCGCCTTGATAGGTCCTCACAGGCTTTTCCTCAGTGCGTGCTGAGAGAGAATACATTATCTTCATTGGATTAGGGCCCCACCCTTAGGAATTCATTTAATCTCCAAATATAGTCACATCGAGGGTTAGGGCTTCAGTATGAATTTTTTTGGAGGTGAGGGGGACAATTCAGAACATAGCAACAGCTCAGATGGTCTCTGTCACAACTACTCACAACTCTGCCGTGATAATGGGAATGCAGCCATTAGTAAGTAAGTGTTAATTATTTATGTAATTACTCTGTGGACACTGAAACTTGAATTTCATATAATTTCCATGTGTTGTGAAATTTTATTCTGTTGACTTTTTTAACCATCTAAATATGTGAAAAACTATTCTTAGTTTGTATACAAAAGCAGATGATGTGTAGATTTGTCCCATGGACCATAATTTGCCAATCTTTAATTTAGGAGATAGGACTGATGAATATTCCAGTCCTCCTGAGTGATTCTCTTTACAGGAGGGTATGTGATATTTTTGGATGAGAAACTAATACAGCACCATTTCTTCTTCCCTTATGTGTTACAGGTGCTGAAGTTTGAAGCTTATTTCCAAGAAGATGTTCCTATGTCCACTGAAGAACATTATAGGATCCGTCAGGTGAACATTTACTACTACCTGGAAGATGACAGCATGTCAGTCATAGAGCCCATTGTGGAAAACTCTGGGATCCCTCAAGGCAGATTAATCAAACGCCAGCGCCTACCCAAGAATGACCAAGGAGACCACTACCATTGGAAGGACCTAAATCGAGGAATAAATATTACAATTTATGGCAAAACTTTCCACATTGTTGAATGTGACCGATTCACACAGGTATAGTATATATTTTTGGAAGTGGTAGTGTCTGAGGTGTTCTAATTTATGGAAGGATACATTTCGCACATTAGAACAAGATAATCTGTTTTGTATGGATTACTATATAGGTGGATTTGGTATTTGTATATGTGCTGATATGTGCCAGAACTATGCAGTGATACCTTTTTTACACAATGATATTGATACACAGCCATTCAAATAAAATTAAACTTACATCATATCTGAATCATTTAATAAGAAACTGGTTCACATGGCAGTTCAGATAGAGAGGAGGGTAGGTGGCACCCTTGATGGGGTGGAAATATGAAAGAGGCATTGGACAATTTGCCTGAAGTTTGAGTTCACAAAAATAGCACTACCTCTATGAGCAGATATGAGCCTAAATTTTTTTGTGTAATTTATATTTTTTTCTGTAGATCATACTTGCTATGTAATATGGAAACTTGCTGTCTAAAGAATTCCTGAAATAAAACCATTTATAAAGGGAAACACTTTTTTTATATTGACAAAAAATCCTCCACTTTCTCTAGTTCATAAATACGGATTTTCTTACCATTGAGAGAGAGAGAGAGAGAGAGACCCATTTTAAAAAACACAAAATGTAGGTAGTAGGCAATCAATTCTAAATTTGCCTGAGTTAAAAACTTATCTAGAAGCAAAGATAGTTTCTGAATCATTTCATGCCTTTAATCTCATGTTACGTAATGCCGGATGAGATTAATTTTTACCATGTACTGAGCTCCTATGAATTCACCCATTTATTTTTTTAATATAGTAATTTATTTTGAAAATACCGAGTGCCTGCTATGTGCCAGGCAATGTTCTAAGTGCCAGGTATAAAGAATAGGCCTTATGGAGGTTATTACATTTTGGCTGGAGGAGAAAACAATAAATAAACAAATTTATAATATGTCAGGGCTGTGTATTTTGGACACTGATGATTAGATTGAATTATGTTTTTAATAATTGTTCTGTTAGGTTAGAAGTTGGGTCCTTTGACAGTTTAAAATTTATGCACATCTTACCTAATTTGATGGTTTTCGTTAGGGCTGGACCTGTGAGTGAATAAGGAAGATGGCTGTCTTTAGGATGTGATTTGAACAAGAAACCACCTCTATTTAAATATATCACCACCACCACCATTGCTTCTTGCCTCCTTCTCATTACTCCAAAAAATGTTTAGTCCTACAGACAGAATGAACTGAACGCCTTAAAAAGTAAAGCTTCAGAAATCAGAGATCTAGAATTTAATATCTTCACTAAAGTATTACTACTAGTAAAGCAGATGTGAATCCCACTCCACAAATGCAGGTGTGCAAAAATATTATTTTTTTTAAAAATGACTCAAAACCTACTTGAGCCCCAATACAACTGAGCTCATATTTCTATTCACCCTCAGCTTTGCCAAAGATTCCAAGCCCTGAGAACAAGGAAGCACTCACAGACTTAAAGGAGTCATATAGGCAGGGCTCACAGGTTGTCCAGTGACCAAAGATACCACCCTGATGCTTGGTGCTAGGTAAGACACTGGGACTCCGAATACCTGAGACTGAATGTACCAGACAGGCTGCATGTGTGCTCGGAGCACCCCTACAGATCACATGTAGAGTCTTGCTCTTCCGAGACCCACCAGCCTGTGTCTGTTTTCCAATCGGGGGGAATTCCCCCCTTTCTCTCCTCTTGCCCTCAAAGATGTTCCCTTCTCTCCCCTTCTGGGACACTTTAGAATAATCTCTTCAAAGAATTTAGGATTTATCTAAGACAGGAAGAAGAGTCAGCCTCAGGAAGCTTCTATATTCCAGTCCAAATTCCCTGAAGTAAAGTTTACAGAGGGCCTGGTTATCTGTTGAAAGCAACAGGAAGGAGTAAAACACTCATTAGATACCTCAGTCAATACACTAATACACCATCTCAAGGGAGAGAATTTTTATTACTAGTCATTATCTCCAATTCAGTCATTTTAGTAGACATTAAAAGTCATATTTTAATATTGAAAGGATATTGGAGACTGCCTAGTAAACTTTAAAATATTAAGATTATAAGGTAGTTAGCCACAGAGCTAATACTAGAACCCAAATATTTTGGTTCTGAGTTCTGAATATTTTCTACTGAATTCTCCAAAAGCAAGCCACACAATTCCAAAAAGAAACCCAGATTTCAGGTTAATTTACAGTTTCAGAATGTAAATAGATCCAATGAAATTGTTCTTTTCTCATTATCAAAAAAGTATAGTTCATTGTGGTCCTTTTAAGAAGAAATGTCAAGTTGTATTAAAAGATATAGTGACTCTGAAAATAATATTATATTTATTCATAATTAGCAAAATAGAATTCAAAGTCATGTCAAGTTCAAATGCTTTCCTTTTTCTGGTGAGATTTGAACACTTGATTTGTCTTTCCTGTTTGGCTAAAAACATTTTCTGGTCTAAACCAGTGGATATGCTTCCTTTTCTTATTTTGCAGGGGACACTTAACCATAGATTTATTTTAAATGAGTTGGAAAGTTGGGAATTTGACTTCAGCTTAACTTTGCCATTATACAATTTGTCCCTATACCTAATATGAAGTACATATTGTTTGAAACTATGGTTAGGTTTCAGATTTGTGTATGTAAGTAGTCCTAGGACTTATTCTGTGCTTGTGCACCTAACTAAATTTCATTGATCTGAGTTCATATTTGGAGCTTATCATATTGCCTATCAATTTTATAATATAGAACACTTAAGATAATTAACAATTATTATCTGCATTATTGAGTTAGGGCAGTTGGAGGCTCAGTACTGCTAAGACATGCTCAAGCTGCAAATTAATGGTTAACCGAGACAGTGCTATAGAAATTCCTACACTTATTTTTAGTCCATCAATTAATACTTTAAGAAGCTTCAAGAAAGATGATCAGTATTAATTTTGAATTATTTAGGAATTTTTGGAAAGTCAAGGAATTGAATTAAATCCACCTGAGAAGATGGCTCTTGATCCTTACACGGAACTCCGGAAACAGCCTCTTCATCAGTATGTGACTCCATCAGACTTTGATCAACTCAAGCAGTTTCTCACCTTTGACAAACAAGTAAGTGACCCAGTCACCTTGGTAAGTTGACTAGTTTCCAAATGTGGCAAGCTATTTTGGTAGATGTATGTTTTGAAACATTACATCTATAATGTAGTCATTTGGATCCAGTGCTATTTTTCTGGTTTCATCTAGAGTTAGAGGTATAGGGACATCTAAGTTTTGTATTAGAGATCCAAAGAAGATTGTGGAATTAAATCTTTCCACCAAATTTTTAAATCTTCAAGCATTCTTGAGCTCCATCTGCTTCCCACTTTACATTTCCAACTGGCTACTTCTTTCCCAAATGTGAGTTAACCTCATAGAATCCTTTGGGATACCTTAAATGAATGATTGGGAAATTTCAAAGCTATTGCATATATGTAGGTTTCTAATGTTAAAATAGTAATTTCACAGAAATCCCATTACAGGTGCTTCTTGTTAAATTTTATATTAACGTATGAGTACAAAATGTTCTGGGTATTTTCCAGCTCTATTCCAGCCTTCCTGTGCTCCCGCTTGGGCTTGTGTGAAGAAGCAATTTCAGTCTTTTTTGCATGCTAAAGGGAAAGAGGAAACAGATCCTCAGTGCTGTTTTGCTACTTTTTTTCTCCCAGAAGTGTAATTCCTTTTAGTTCAGAAAATTTTACTTAGCACTGTCATAGTCTTTTAAGGATGTTCTTTATATCAAGCATATATCTGTTGTTATTTTGTATTTAAAGATTGTGGTGTTGACACTGTTACTAGAAGATATGTGTTGATGAAACTAAAAAAAGATAAAAAAGTAAATGAAAATTCGTTCCATATTAATTACAGATAAACCATTCACGTGCACCTTTATTAGTACATACAAACTACTGTATAAAGGACCCATTGCTTTTTTAATTCAGCTTCTCTTTCACTGACTAATATTTTGGATCAAAGTGGATTCTCTCTCAGCACAAATTTATAAGCCTATTAATATTTTCCAGCTGTTGGCATCTGATATATAATTTCAGATGTTTTAGTATGTTAGGTAAATGTTTCTTTTTTGTTTACCATCTAAGATTGCTCAATCCTTTTTCTAGCTAATCTTTTCATTATCGTCTGATATATAAATGTCAAAGTGGCTAAGTTAGGCTTTCCCCTTATAGAACTCGTGTTTAAGTCACTACTTTGGACTTCTCACAGGTTCTTCGATTCTATGCGATCTGGGATGACACGGACAGCATGTTTGGTGAATGTCGGAACTACATCATTCATTACTATCTTACGGATGACACGGTAGAAATTCGAGAGGTCCATGAACGGAATGATGGGCGAGATCCCTTTCCACTCCTGATGAACCGCCAGCACATGCCCAAGGTTTTGGTGGAGAATGCAAGTATGTCTGATTCGGTTTATCTTCTGATAATTGGACCTGTTTTCAGATCTCAAAGGAGTTACTTAATCAGTGTGATCATTCCCTTTTACACTTAGGAGGCTGTTGCTGTGTTTGTGTAGGGACTCAAAAAACTGCTTTCCCTTAGTTTCTCTCCTTTACCTGCCCCCTTGGTCCAGGCTTGCCTCTGAAATGGTCTGGTGGGAGTGACTGATAACCAAATCAGGAAACAAAACCAAAACAGCAGTGGGAGATTCATTAAAGTGTAGAAGAGCAAGGCTTCTGAACTTGAAGCAACTTAATATCAGATTTATAATGCATTTCTAAATCAAGCTTGTTTTCATTCACTGAAACAGCATACCATTTCCTTATGTGCTTTCTTGACTTTGCTTCTTGCCTCAACTTTGTGACAGGAAGTTTCTATGTGGGATAACTTAAGATTGGAAAAGGCATGTCCGTGACATAGAGGTGTAGTGCCATTGTGTCAACCCTTGTTCTTTCTTTGTTGGTATAAAATAACCTAGTGGATTAAAGAGCGAGAACGCAACAAAATGCAGGTGACACCTGCCTCCCATCAGTATTTCTCTGGGATACGTAGGCTTGATTTAGTTATTGACTTAGTAGTTTAAGAGTGTCCTCTTATAAAAATGTCGTATTGGTTGTATATAATGACATCTCTCATGCTTGGAGGGCTGACAGAACTCTGTAAATTTTTATTGATTTTTTGGAGCTAGGAGATAAAAAATTCCAGGTATTGAGCAAGCAAGAAGCTTGTCTCAGAGGATATAAACAAACAAATTGAGATTAGAGCGTATAAGAAAATTGAGATTAGAGGTTATACACAAAGTGGCAGTCTGCAGGCTAAATTCAACCTACCCACATGCATTTCTTGGCCTGCACAGTGTTTAAAAAAAAATGCAGTGTTATTTGGGGGCAAAGAGTCAGAGATTTCTATCATTGGGAGAGTGGATAAACAAAATGCAATGACAGTATACCTTGATAAATATGTAGTAGTTAGAAGCAATAAACAAAATGTACATAAAAGCAGATGAGTGTATTTTAAAAACAGTGCTGTGTAGAAAAAAAGTAAAATGAGACATATGATGCAGTAAAGTAAAATACACAGCAGTATAAATAATAAACATACAATAAAAATGCTGCACATTTGAATGGTTGCATGTGAGGTAGAGAAGAATGAGACTGGCAAAAGAGAGGAGTAAAGGGAGTAAAAGTTGTTTTAATTTAAGAGAGTTACCGTTAAAAATCTCTCTTTTTTTTTTAATGAGAATAATTGCTAACACAGCTTGTATTCTCAGCTAGCAACAACTGGATCTGTGCCCTAGTTCCACAGAGTTGGGCTGCTGCCTACCACATTCTTATACTTAGCCTCCTGTACAGCCCTCTTAGAGTTCTAAGACTTTAGGACTAATGTACTAATTTTAGCCTTTCAGATTGCTTAAATGAGCCTGAAATTTCTGTCATCTGGAGTTAATAAAAGTTAGATTTACAGTAGATTAAAAGAAAGAATGGGAATGTAGTCAGGGTAGAATGAAAAAAAAAAAAAGTCACTAAAACTGAATGCCTTGAACTTTCAGGTTCCAGTATTGTCTCTGCCTTATCAGTGTGGCCTACGTCTAAAATTTTCCATGTGTAATCACCCTGTTCTATAACTTCCCAAATTTTAACAAATGTTCATTGGTCATATGGCGAGGCAGTTGGCGACATCTGTAGGGTTCTTTTAAGAGGTAGGAAACATACCTTTTTGTCAAAGTTATTGTTAGTCATGCAGTAGTGGGATAGAAAAGGCTATCCCACTACAGTTCCTGTAACTAGAACTGTGGTGTTAAAGAGGTGACATTTAATTGACTCGCAAAGGCATTTATCCAGTGGATGATTTTTACTAAATTCAGTTAAACAAGAGTTAAGTGTCTGCTGTGGGAGCTAGCTCATGCACTAAGTGCTGTGGTAGATAATATGAAAATGTAACTTCCAGACCAGAATCCCTGCCCGTAAGTCCCTTCTAGTGACTGGGAAACAGATCACATTAGTGCACAAAGCTGTTAAACAGCAACACTAGTGTATCGGACTATCTGATTATATAACTAGCTATGTCATGTAGACAGAGCTCAGAAGAAGAGAGCTGGGATGACTAAGGAAGGCTCTGTGGCACAGCTGGGATTTAGAATGGCAGAGAACAAAGGGAAAGAGAAGCTTAGAGAGAAGAGTAAGAGCAAAGGTTGGGAGTAGGAACAAGTATGGTATGTTTGGGGATATCCAAGAGACAGTGTCTAGGGAGAGTTTGTATTGGACAGTAATGGAATTAGGCGCATTTCTTTCCAAAGGTCTCTCTGCCAGGGCCTTCTCTGAAGTAGTTAAGATAAGTCAAAATTATATTTTTATTATGGATGGAGTTAAAATATCTAAAAGTTCTAATTCTACACATTCTAAAAGTTCTTTGTTGAAGGTAATTTCAGGTTGCCAGTGTAAGCTAAAAGAAGTGTATTTCGCTGACTAGAAGCCTTCTCAGCTGTTGAAGCCAAGGCACTGGGTCCTGAAAGTTTCTTCATTACCCTTTAGCCTGGCTTTCATTCTTTGATCTTGTCATTTCCTGGATAAGTACATATGTCAAACAACATCATAATTGTACACTCTAAATATGTACAGCTTATTGTAGTCAATTATACCTTAAGAAAGTTGTAAAAATATAAATCCTTACCTATATATATCATAGTTAAACTTAAGAACACCAAATTCAAAAAAATTGTAAAAGGAGCCCCAAAGAACAAAGTTACCGGTACAGAATGGCAGAATGACAGCTAACTTCTCAGTAGCAACAATAGTTACCAGAAGACAGCTTAATAATAACTTTAAAGCGCTGAAAAAAATAGAATTTAATATCTGGAGACACTATCTTTCAAGAAGAAGGTGAAATACATTTCCAAGCAAACAAAAAAGATTTAGTAGCAACAAATCCTTACTAGGAGAATTCTTGAGTGTACTTCAGGTAAAAAAAAAAAAAAGATTCCAGAAATAAAGTCTGAGATATAAATAAAATTGTAAAGTGTGATAAATCTAAATAAGCATTGAATGTACAAACTAAAGTAACAATGTTGAATTTGTGGGGATTAAAAATATGGTAGAATTAAAATATAATACAATAATGACATAAGAGGGGTAATAGAACTTAAAAACATTTTTTAAATTTATTGGGGTAACATTGGCTAATAACATTTTATAAGTTTCAAGGGTACAATTCTATAATACAGGGGTTGGCAAAAGTAGGTTGTTCATATGGAAAATAATACAATAATTAATAAATAATACAAGAATAAACTTTCATGTACTCACAACTGTAAACCTACTTTTGCCCATCCCTGTACATGTTCTTTATATTGCATTGAGCGCTCAGTCTCCTCTCACCATATATTTGACCTCTTTTGCCCCCTTCACCTGCCCTCACCCCACTTCTTCTCTGGTAACTACCATACTGTTGTCTATATCTATGAGTTTGTTTGTTTGTAAAATACAACACATTTTGAAAAAGATTTTTCCCCCCGCTTTATTTCAATATATTTTTTAAATTACTATTTATCCCCATATACCCTTTTCCACACATCCTCTTCCCCCCTCAGTCACCACACTGTTGTCCATGTCCTCGAGTTCAAAAAAGTTATTTTAAGAACATTCTTAAGATATAGGAACATAGAAAGTTCAAAAAAGATGTATAAGCAAATAGCAAAAGAAACTGATAAGACTATACAGTATTAGTATAATACAGATAGGCATTAGGTAAAAAACCATTGCTAGAGATAAAGAGGATCATTACATATTATAAGAATTGTATTTATTAGGAAAATGTAATAACTATAAACTTGTATACAATTAAAAACATGGCTTCAAAACATATAAAGCAAAACTTTTATAGCACTATTATGCAGAGAATGAACAAATCCATCAAAATAGTGAGTCATTAAAACATTTAACAACTGTTAGATCAAAACGACAATAAGAACAATATAATTATCAATATTGATTTAATGAATATATATATGCATCAACACCTGGAAAATTTCCATTTTTTTTTAAATACAAATAGAACACAAAAACTGATCATTCTTAACAAATTTTAAAGACAGGACATCTTGCCCAGCTGGGCCCACATGGCTCAGACGTTGAGCATGGACTTAGGATCCAGGAGATCGAGGTTCGATTCCTGGTCAGGGCACATGTCCAGGTTTTGGGCTCGATCCCCAGTGGGGGATGTGTAGGAGGCAGCCAATCAATGAAGACTCATCATTGATGTTTCTATCTCTCTCTCTCCTCCCTTTTTCTCTCTCAAATCAAAGATATATTAAAAATAAATAAAAGACAGGACATCTTATACCATATTTTCTGATTTCAAAACAAATTAGGATTCAGTTTTGGAAACATAACGAAAAAACATTATTTGGAAATTGAAAATCACATTTTTGAATAATCCATGAGTAAAAAAAATGCTGTCAGAAAATACTTAGAACTGATTGATAGCAGAAATTCCCTTAGATCTTTTAGATACATCAAAAGTGGTATTTAGAGGAAGATTCATAGCCCAGGCCAGTGTGGCTCAGTTGGCTGGAGTGTAGTTCCATGTACCAAAAGGTCACCGGTTTGATTCCTGGTCAGGGCATACACCCAGGTTGGGGGCTCGATCCCCAGTAGGGGGCATGCAAGAGGGAGCCATTCGATGTTTCTCTTTCACATAGATGTTTCTCTCTGTCCCTCTCCCTTCTCTCTCTAAAATCAAAGACATTTAAAAAAGAAGAAAGAATGAAAAAATAGGCTAGGCATTCTTAAAAAGTTAGAGTAGGAATGACAGAATGAATCTAAAGAAATTAAAAGGGAGGAAATAATAAAATAAGAGCCTGAAAATAATGAAATTGAAAACTAAGTAACAGAGAATTGTCAGGTCAAAAGTTGTTTCTTTGAAAGGACTAATAAAATGACAAACCATTGACAAAATTTATTAAGGGAGAAAAGAAAGAAAACACATATATACAATATTAAAAACAAAAGAGGAGGCAATAGAAATTAAACAAAATAATAGACTAATACCGAAAACCTTATGCCAATACATTAGAAAACTTAGGTGAAATGAGCAAATTTTTAGAAAAGTTTAATTTGTTCAAGAAGAAATATAAATCAAATGTCTTTAACACTAAACAAATAGAATCAGTTAAAAATTTTCCCATAAAAAATCACCAGGTCCAGATAATTTTTCAGTTTTGCCAAATATTTAAAAAACATAAAATTTCAAGCTTAATACAAACTCTTTCATAGGAAAGAAAAAGAACTTTATTCATTCATTTAAAAAGACCAATAAAAATAAAGACACCGTGTGAAAAAAAGAACTAAATTCTCACTCATAAACATATGTCAAAAACCCTAAACATTATATCAGTAAGCAAAATCCAGCATTATATGAAACAGATCGTTGTTGAGCAAAGACAAATGGCTGGACACACACCCACACACACCCACACACACAGATCTCTTGGAACCTTGTTTACTGAGGGAAATTCACTGAGTCACGAGCTGTGTCCCCCACTGCCCATCACTTACTGGGGTAACTCAAAGGGATCTAATAGGGTTAGGTACTGGACACTGGGAGGAAGGGCTTTTAAGGTGCATGAAAAGTACCACCCCTTCTTTTAGCATGATCAGGGGCTGGAGTTCCTGCCTTTCTGTGTGATATAGCTTAGCAGTCAACAGGAGAATACCAGCCTGCCTCTCCTGCCCCCTGAGGTCCGAGTCCTGAGGCCAAGCTTGGTGGTTAAAGCTATATAGTGCGACACATTTCCAGACTTGACTATCTTACAGTTCCCAACACTTAGTACTCATAAAACAATGTGAGAGAATTGGATTTATTCCAAAAATGCAAGGTTGATTTTACATTTTAAAAATGTGTTGATTCCCTAGATGTAATCATCTTGCTGACTGTCTGCCTCCTGCCACAGGTCTAGGTCAGATTGTCCTAATAGCAGTGATCGTAATTGAAATGAAGCCATTATTTGTGTAATTGTTAATATCTGTCATCCCAAACAGAGTGTTTTCTTCATCAAGGCATGCATGTTGTTTATATTGTTAATTGTTGTAATCTTAGGATTTAGTGGTGTACCTAGTACATGATATATATGTGGTCACTAGTAGTTTGTTGGATGAAGGAATAAATGGGTGGGTGGTTGAACTAAAAATGAGTTGGATTCCTCCTAGATTTGATATTCTGTACAAGGACATTTATTCTTTCCTCCAGTGATGATTTCTTCTGAACGTTAATTCTGCTAAGGTTAGTGACCCATAGTGATAGCTGGAACTGAACATGGAAGAAAGACTTTACAAAAACCATCTAGGTTATTATTTATGTGTCCTGTCAGTAGATGGAAATACACAGCCTTGTGTTCTTGGGAATGTGGAGGAGGCCCTGACCCTTGGCCAGAGCTGAAGACTGCACTCCCTCAGGTTTTCAGAAGCCCTCATGTTGTGTCCCACCCTTATTCCTCTTCTTTCCTCTCCCCTGCTCTCTCATGTTAGAGAACTTCCCTCAGTGTGTGCTGGAAATCTCTGATCAAGAAGTGTTAGAATGGTATACTGCCAAAGACTTCATCGTCGGGAAGCCACTCACTATCCTTGGGAGGACTTTCTTCATTTACGATTGCGATCCATTTACTCGACAGTATTTCAAAGAAAAGTTTGGAATCTCAGATTTACCACGTATTGATATGAGCAAGAAGGAACAACCTCCTATAAAACAGGTAATGGAACGCTAGTTCTAAGTGTACTGAGAGAATCATTTTATGTAAAAGTTTAAGAAAAAGGAAAAAAAAAAGACATGTAAATAGCCAGTAAAAAAAAAAAAATGGACAAAGCATATGATATAGAACAGTTCACAAAAGAAGAAACACAAATGGCTAATGAATATATGAAAAGACCCTCAAGTTAATTGATAAAGAAATAGAATGAAAATAATGAGGTTTTGGATCTATTTGATTTTAAAAGACTCACGATAGCTAATGTTTGCCCTGGCATAAAGAAATGGGCATTTTCATGTACTGTTAATAGGATAGCCAATAAGAAAAACCTTTCTGCCCTGTCCTGTGTGGCTCAGTTGGTTGAACATTGTCGCATGCACCAAAAGGTCAACAGTTTGATTCCTGGTCAGGGCACATGCCCAGGTTGCAGGCTCAACCCCCAGGGGGCATGCAGGAGGCAGCCAATGCATGTTTCTCTCTTATCATCAATGTTTCTCTCTCTCTCTCTCCCTCTCTCTAAAAATCAATAAAAATATATTTAAAAATAATAAAATATTACGTATTTCTTCACCCTGAAAATCTGTGTGTGGTTTTAATTTCTAGTTTTATACTAAGCCTTGTATTAGTTTTATAATATTATTTTCATTTAGATTTTTTAAAAACATCTTTTAACATTCCAGACCCTAGGGCATTTCATTGTTTCTTGCCTCTTTATCAATCCCCTTCACTTAAAAACCGGTTGACAGCAAAGCAAAAACTGATTAATTGAAGGTGTTGGAAGATGACTTTCTTTCATGGCAGCATAGCTTTCCTTAGACTCACACTGAACCACAAAATTCATTTCTCACCCCAACAGAAGTCCACTCTAATATGAGAGTAAGTCCACGGCACTTGTAATGCACTGATAGTAAACTGATAAACTTGAGCCTTCAGAGTGGCTCAGCCACACATTTTAGAGTTTCAAAAGAGAACTGCATGTTTTAAAAATTAGACATTATACAACTAATTCAAGAGGCATCTGAAGTATTAAGATAGCACCGTGTCATGGACTGAAAACACTGATGTTTTTATACCTCTTTGGTCCAGTAATAATGCCTGTGACTCATCTTTATGCTGCCACTGTGTGAGTAATGTCACTGGGCTTTTTCTTTTAAAAAAGAGACATGAATAGGATGGAATTACTGAGTTGCTCCCACCTGGGCTCTGCCTTCTCCCCATTTGCTGCCTGTCTGTGTGCACTTAGCCTCAGTTGTACTGAATTGTGTGTGGTTCTGCAGGTGCCACATTCTGTTTTACTCTCCTGGACTTTTGCTGATGCTCTCCACCTGCTAAAACCACTTTCCCATCATTTTTTCACATGCCTCTTTGTTATTCTTCAAGACTGTCAGTGTAGGCTTTCTGTCTTCCAAGAAGGCTTCTCTGAAATGCCAGGCAGGTCAGGCTGCCTCCTCTATTCATGGGGTGCCCTGTGCCTCTCTCCACTAGCACTTACCTGTTAGTTTAAAGTATCTGTTTATGATTCTTCCCTACTAGACTGTAAATTCCTTGAACACAAGAGCCGTATTTTGTACATCTTTCTCCTAGCACCTAACACAGTGCCTAGCAAATAGGAGGTGTATATAGAGTATGTCTCATGAACTAGGCTGAAGAAGAGTGCCTGTGAAGTACGTATTTGCTACCCCAAAAGACAAGTGATATCTTGGGCAAGCCTTTTAAAACCAACGTTTCATAAAAACAATTACAAAATGCCCTGGCTTATGTGGCTCAGTGGTTGGAGTGTCTACCTGCACACTGAAGGGTTGTGGGTTTGATCCCCCCTGGCCCCAGTGCAGGCAGGAGGCAACCAATTGTTTCTCTCTCACATTGAAGTTTTTCTCTCGCCCCACCCCCTTCCACTCTCTGTAAAAAACAATGGAAAAAATACCCTTGGGTGAGAATTAACAAAATTACAAAGAAGAATTTGGAGTTTGGTATGCTGAGTTCCCAGCGGCAATGAAACTTCTGGAAGTAATATAGTCATGCGCCACATGATGACGTTTGGGTCAACGATGGGCCACGTGCAATGAGGTGACACATTCGTATTGCCTAGTGACATCATAATGGTCATAATGTCACAGCATAACATATCGCTCACATGTTTGTGGTGACTGGTGTAAACAACCCTGCACTGCCAGTCATTTAAAAATATCGCACATAGTTATATCCAGTACATACTTGATAATGATAGTAAATGACTGTGTCACTAGTTTATGTATTCACTGTACTATACTTTTTATCATATTTTAAAGTGTACTTGTTCTACGTATTTCAATAAAGTTTGTTGTAAACCAGTGTTACGCCAGCAGCAGCCTGATACATTTTGTGTTTACTGCGTCTTTTGACTGCATCATTTTCTCTTGTGATTAACCCTGTGTTGTTTTGTTCGCCATGGCCCCTAAGCGTACAAATGCACTGCTGATGTTGCCAGTGACTGATCTGGAAACAAAATTAAAAGTGATTAAGGACTACGAAGGTAGAAAATCAGTGATGGTTACAGCTCTCCAGTCAGGCATGTCCCATTCCACCACAGCTGCAATCTTGAAGAAAAGACAGAGACAGAGATGAACAAACATATGAGAAGGGCCTGTGTCAGACACGGAGAAACTGCTAATGACTCGGATTGAAGAGCTGGCACAGTGTATCCCTCTAGGCACCATGAGGATCTCGGCCACAGCAAAAGGCTGGTTTGTGATGTAGAAAGAAAAGGCTCGTCCCAGCTATGATCTGCATTTACCTCTAGCTCTAGGTGGTTTAAACAATTCGATTTAAGTATTGTTATTCATTCCATAACGTGAGAGTGAGTATTGAGTCTGCGAGTGCTGATGTGAAGGCAGCTGAAGAATTTTTGGAAACTCCAGATAAGCTGATTGTGGAGCAAAAGTACTTGCCCGAGCAAATATTCAATATGGATGAAACTTCCGTATTCTGGAAACAGATGCCTGAAAGGACTTCCATCCTTATATAAGGAGGCCAAGTTGTGCCAGGTTTTAAGGCTTTTAAGGACAGGATAACAGTCTTGGGGACAACATTGTAGGCTACAAATTGAAACCCTCTGTGATCTGGCACAATGAGAACCCTGGGACCTTCAAGCGTATTGATAAGCACATGCCAGTGTCCTACAGGAGCAGTAAGACATCGTGGATGGCCCAGCTCCTCTTCCAGGATGCCCTCCTGAATTGCTATGTCTGTGAAATGGAAAAGTACTGTAGAGAATAACGTGCCCTTTAAGATTTTGCTTATTGCTGATAATGCTCCTGGACATCCTCTTTTTATTGGTAGCCTTCATCACAATATCCAAGTGGTATTTCTCCCTCTAAAACACCTTTTGATGCAACCAATGGATCAAGTTGTTAAGCAGCTTTAAGGCCTAGTAACTGAGGAGGACCTTTGACCAGGCTATTGCTGCAACTGAGGAAGACACTGATATAATTCTGGAGGGATTACAGCATCTCTGCTGCATCAAAAACCTTGCTGGAGCTTGAGGTGATATCACCAAGGAGTATATGAATGGCATCTGGAAGAAGACACTCGAGATTCATCTATGACTTCAAAAGACTTGCCAACAATGAGGAGGTTACACAAATCAGGAAGGCTGACCTGAGATGGCCAACAGCCTCAACCTGGGTGTGGTGAGGATGACACTGAGGAGGTCCATGAGGCGGATCCTGAGGAATAGACTAAGGAAGAGTTGTTGGAACTAGAATAGGAGTGCATAGCTGAAGAAGAAGTGAGAGAAAAGGACACTGCAGGAGATAAAAAAGAATCCCCAAGAAAAGTCACAGTGAAGGGTTTAGCAGAAGTTTTTGCAGACCTCAACAAGCTCCTTAAAAAGTTTGAAAACATGGACCCCCTCCCCCCACCAGAAGGTTTTTATTAATAGAGAGGAATGTTCATAAGCAAATTTATGATGTAAAAGAAACCAAGCAAACCAGCGTGGACATATTGCTGAAAAGAGTGACACCTCCTCAAGAAGAGCCTCAGGCAAGTTGTTCAGGAGACACTCCAGAAGAGGGCATTGCTACCACAGGAGATGACAGCCTCATGTGTGTTACTGTCCCTGAAAACCTTCCAGTGGGACAAGATGTGGAGTGGAAGACTGATGTTTAGGTCCAGACCCTGTGGAGGCCTAAGCTAATGTGTGTGGTTGTGTCTTAGTTTTTAACTAAAAAAGATTTTTGAAGTTTTGAAAAAATTTAAAAATAGAAAAAGCTTATAAAATAAGGATATAAAGAAAAAATATTTTTGTACAATGTGTTTGTGTTTTAAGCTAAGTGTTATCACAAGAGTTGAATTTTTTTTTAATTCCAAAATTTTAAAGTAAAAACATTACAGTAAGTTAAGATTAATTTATTATTGAAGAAAAATATTTTCTTATAAATTTAGTATAGTCTAAGGGTACAGTGTTTGTAAAGTCTACAGTAGTGCACACTAATGTCCTAGGCCTCTACACTCACTCACCACTCCCTGACTCACCCAGGGCAACTTCCAGTCCTGCAAGCTCCATTCTTGGTAAGTGCTGCATATAGGTGAACCATTTTTTATCTTCATACCACATCTTTACTGTACCTTGTGTATGTTTAGAAATGTTTAAATACACAAATACCACTGTTAGGATTGCCTATAGTATTCAGTACTGTAACATGCTGTGCAGTTCTGTAGCTAGGAGCAACATGCTGTACCATATAGCGTAGCTGTGTAGCAGGCTATACCATCTAGGCTTGTGTGGCGATGCCCTTCTCAGAACATATTTCTGTCATTACAATACGTGGCTGTACCTCTTGCTATCAGTGTGTTTTTTTCTGATAGAATTCCTAACTATTGAATGTGCCTCACCCTCAAATTTTTGGCAACATTTGATGGAATATATAAGAAAAAATACTATGGGAACAGATGTAGATTTTGATCAAGCAAACTGTTTCACCACTTTAGTTTACAGATAAGTATAGTGTAAGATAGCAGTCCAAGGACTTGCCCACAGCCCTATTGCAAAGTGCAAAGGTGATTCTATTAAATGTGGAGGAGGTATACCCAAGCAGGAGGTAGGTTTGGGAGGGATTGCAAGAGTGGTGCATGTTTTTAGCCCTCTGATCCATCTTTTGAGTTGATAAAAGCTTTTGAGTCCTAGAATACTTCTCCCCATCCGTTCTCATTACCATAATATTTTTCTCCTAACCTGTCTTCCAAGGAAAGAAAAGAATGGGAAGATTTGGGTAGAGAGCAGAGAGAAGTGAAGAACCACTGGAGATGGTTGGTTGGTTGGTTTGGTTGGTTGGTTGGTTTTGCCCTATCTCGGCCACTCTGTATAGTAAAACTAACTCTACCTCCATACGTATGGCACGCTAATTGTAGTGTTTGGTCAGTTTATTTTCAGTAAATTCTCTATAACAAATAATCACTACAAATAAATTCTCTCTGCCTATTCATAAAAGTCTGTGTTGGAAATGAGTAGGAGAGCTCCACTTACCAAACAGCAAGTACATTTTAGCTCTCCTTAGTTTTTATACTTCAGTCATTTAGACCCTGAACGACATAGTTGTAAAGCAGGGATAGGATGCTGTAGCAGAGTCTAGAGGGGTAAAGCTAGAGCCAAGTTAGTGGTCAGGGCGAGAAGTGGGCATGACGTGGATATGTTCAGTTTGAGAATCACGACACTCCTAGGTCAGGCTGATCTGCTAGGTCAGGAACAAGTGAACATGGATCCAGGAGCCAGATGTGTTCTCTCTCAGGCTGGCTCCTTATGGAGACATGTTTGCTGGCAGGGAAGAGGAGGGAACTGAGGACTAGAAGAGCTAATCTGCTATAGAGCCCGCCCCTCGAAGCAGTCTGTGAGGGATTTTGGGATCTCATGCTGTGTACTTGCTTTGTTTATAAAACCTGGGCAGAAACTCTGGTGGGTGAGTCATATGAGCAGGAGTATCTAGGAGTGATAATCTCCATAGTCAGAAGAGTGGTTCATGTAGATTGAAACAGGACCCAGGCAGTAACTTGGGAGTATGAGAAGCCTGTTGCCAGGACTCCAGGCATAAGGGCTGATGTTTAAGGAATGTCTTCATTCCAAGCAGGGCAAATATGCGATTCAGGAAAAGCAGGTAGAAGCCTGTCGAAACTCAAAAGGAATTTGAGAGGAAGGCTCTCAGAGGCTTACAGCTACCTCTCCATTTCAAAATTCCTAAACTTCCATCCCAACCCCCAACCAGACTGCTGTCACTGTGTTTTAATGCCGATGCAAAGGAAGTTTAGATTCCGCCAATATATTTCTGCCTAGCCTCCAGAGCAATGCAAAGCTCATTAGTATTTGGCGTCTCACCCGAGGTCCCTCTGTCCATGGCAACTTTTGTATTCACTGAGCAGTGGTGTTGCACTTGGTGCAAATTAGGTCATTGCCCATCCACTGGATCCACTAGTCGTATTCCAGGCATGATGACCACATTACTGCAGCCCTGGCAAGTGGCAGTAGGGTTATTGTTCCGATCACTACACCCTAAATGAACATGACAGAGTCACTGGGCGTTGAGGGAGTACCCCGTTACAGATGGACCAGGGATCTTATAGACTAATTTGTTAAAGTGCCTGAATATAATTTATAAAAAGATCTGAGGAAGGTATCTGCACGAGAAGAGCAAGGTACAAGCTGAGTTTGCTGAGAAAGCATAGCCAGGAGGAGTCAGGGAAAAAGAACTCTGCTGCTTTTTAGTTAGTATTGATGAGAGAGGAAAACAAAACTAAAGTTTTGAGACAAATCCTAGCACCCTAGAGTGATGCTTTCAGCTCTTCATGGAACCCGAATGAGAAATACAAGTTCAATCTATACTTCTGCACTACTCACCAATTAAATTTGTCTTGAGTTTGCTCCTTCACCAGGAAGGGAGAGTTCTGTATGAACAAGGAATCTGAGTTCTCAACAAGTATGGCTGTCATCCTTCTGTGAGGCAAAACTCAAGAAGTAAAAATATTAGAAATATGGAGACAAATAGGAAAAATAAATCAAGTTGATAACTGTTGTGATTAGCTAGTTATTAATAGTAGGAAAGGAGCAAAAGGGAAGCCAGACATAAGCATGGCCATTTGGGCGGCTTCACCAGGAAGCTGCAATTTCACACTCCCCGGGGAACCACTGGCCCATCCCCTGCACATCACTGGGGGAGGAGGCCCAACAAAAGGGAGGTAGATGCATGCACAGTGAAGTTGGGATGACTAGGGAAGGTGCCTCTCAGTCACACCTGGGAACAGAGATCATTGGCCAGAGTGTGGGGGCTAATGCAATCCCAGGAAAATTGGGGGAACATAATCCCCTAAACAAAGGAGTTTGTTCTCTAACTGCTCTTGTGACTCGGCTCGTGGGGCTCTCTCGTTCCTCTGTCCTTGCGTTTGCCAGTGTTTCCTTTATAGCCATGTGGCCCTGAGGACCCCACATGTAATGAACTGATGGACTGCAGCAGGAAACACAGATTAAGCTAGCCTGATGCTGTACTGGATTGTCCCAACATGGAACAGAAACTCTGGACACTGACTCTGACTTCAGCCCTGCTAAAGCTGAAGTTACACTTCAGGACTGAGGGAGAGGGGACCTTGGAAACTCAGAGATGTGATTCCACAGAAATAAAAATCACGTGTTCTCCCATGCAAGTCTCGGAAAATTCTTTATCTTGGGATATCACAAGAATTCTCCCACAAGCAACAGGTGGGGACAAGGAAACTATCCCCACTTCCACTAGTAACAGATCATGCTAGGATGATGACAAGGGCCAGGATTGGGTCCGAGAGTAGGGCCAGGTCCTGCTTTGGCAGTAAGGGGTCAGAGGACATCAGCAATAGCTTCACTATAGCCCTGACAGTTACTTTGTAGCATCATTGGTTACTTCCATGAGGAATGATCATGGTATAAAATCTATAAATGAAGAGGAGTGGAATATGCGGTGTGTTATTTTTTCTGACTGCATTTGTAAATATTGAAATTTCTTTTAAATACATGTTTTCTAGATTTTTTCAAAGAAACTTAGTTACTTTGTAATTTTTAATACAAAGAGCATGCTTCTTATTTCCTGTATTTCTTCAGGAATTACCTCCCTATAATGGTTTTGGACTAGTCGAAGACTCTGCTCAGAATTGCTTTGCTCTCGTTCCAAAAGCTCCGAAAAAAGATATTATTAAAATGCTGGTGAATGATAACAAGGTGCTTCGTTATTTGGCTTCACTGGTGAGGATAATTTTTATATGCTAAGATTCTGTTCTCTCTCTACCATGCCTTCAGGCCGGTTGGATGGTGTTAAGTATGCTACCCCTGAACCAAGACCTGGCTCAAGTCCAAGCTCCCACAGAAATCTCTCTTAGATCATTAATCTTCCTCTCTACCCCTCAAGTTCTGATAGATCTTTTTGCCTTTTTTATTAAGTAGTTATGAAAGCCTGACTTATATTCAATTTATTTATGTATCTGTGTGCCTTTCCAGTGTACTGTGATTTCCTTGAGGGTAGGGATCATGCTCTTACTAATTTTTAGCATTACCTGTAATATCTAGCTTGATGTATTTTATATTCATTAAGTGTAATAAATGGAATCATTTATTGACATCAGTTGAGTAGATGGTGCTTTTGAGAGGTCATATGGCTAGTGATTGAGCATAGGTCTGGAAACAGACAAATTCAAATTCTAAATAGTCCACTTATGGGGTTGAATACCTGAGGCAAATTACTGATAGGAATTCAAAGGATAATATCTTTAAAAATGAAAAAGTGTAGAAAAAGGAATATAAGCATTTTACTTAGAACTATGGAAATAAATAGTAGAAAATTGAAATAAGTTACTTTTGGGAATAGGAATTGGGTGTGGGGAGCTGTGGTCAGGTGATTTTTCAGACTAAGGCAAACTTTGGAGATTCTGCAGGTTCAGTTTCAGACCACTGCAATAAAGCGAGCATTGGAATAAAGTGAGTTGTAATCATTTTGCTGGTGGAGGGTCTTGCCTTCAAGTTGCAAAAAAACGGAACACCTGTGAAGCGCAATAAAGCGAAGTATATGAGGTGTGCCTATATGTAGTATGTGTATGTGTATAATAATGAAATGAAAACAGTTGACTGATATATTTTAGGAAAATGTTGAACAAAGCTTTACATAAAAAGGGAGTTCTAGCAAATTCTGTACCAGCTAGAACCTCCATACCATAAGAAGTCTGGTAAATGAAGGTTTTACATTATGATTAAGTTATTTGAGTTACCATTAAAATTCAGCAGGCTTGTGGAAATTTGATGTAGTAACTATAAGCTTCCTAGACTTTGTAGGTACTCAGTAACTGTTGGTTGAGTGGGTAAATGAATTTATTTACACATATACTGTCTATGAGTTAGGTAATATATTATACCCATTTTATGTTTCAAAACAAGAATCAGAGAGGCTAATTGGCTTGTTCCAGATCTCAATGCCGTTCAGGCAGAGGCAGGACTAGAACTCAACTTTCTGACTTTCAATGCAGCAGTCTTCTTCTTTTTTTTTTTTAAATTTAAAGAGTATATTTTTATTTGTAATGTAAATAATTTGGAAATATGACTGTACGTTCACTATAAGCAGTTTTAATGCTGCCATCTTATATGTTAGAGAGACAATAGAGAAAAGAGTATTATGGGTATTTTTACTACAGAGAAATAGTTACCAGAGCCCTCAAGTAGGTGACATGAGGAGTCATCATGAGGAAGGAAGTTGGAAAAAAGTCTTATTCCTGCAGCTATGAGAATCCTCGAGCCAGCATTCTTTTGATCGAGAACCAGTATAATGCTCAGGCTATGAAAAGGGAAAAAGACTCACATGAGTTTGTAAGGTACATAATTGTAGGCTTACTTTTCCTATCTGAAAACCCTGGAAAGACTGTTACATAATTGATTATAAAAATTTTGATGAATAATGTTAGACATTGCTAAATGAGAAAAAAATACATTTATAGAGTGGGGCAAAAGTAGATTTACAGTTGTGAGAACGCAAAACAGTTTATTCTTGTATTATTATTTATTAATTATTGTATTATTTTCCATATGAACAACTGTAAGTCTATTTCTACCCCACCCTGTATATTGACTGCAGTCTTGTGTACTGACAAATAACCCAGGCAAATTTGATATATCAAGAAAAGTTGAAGAGTACATAATTTGGATGAGCCCTCTTGCTTAGGACAACTACAAAAACGTGGGGGTGTGTGTGTGTGTGTGTGTGTGTGTGTGTGCGCGCACGCCCGTGCGTTTACTACTGCTTGAGGGTGCTGAATGAATAACAGGATATGAAGAAACACTGAGCAAGAACCGGGGGAATATTAAAAACCAAGACGTGAGCCTGGCAAATGCGGCCATATTTCCTCTGGGAAAGTTTGCTCATTCCAGAAGAAGCACCAGTGAGAGCAAACTTTAGACTCTAGGGCCTGTCAAAGACAGAAGTACCTTGTAAACCCTCTGCTAATCCTTGAAGGGACTGTTTTCTGGCTTTGAGTTGTCTCCCACCCAGAAATCAGATTAAGATGATCCTGGATTACTAAAGCCCCCAGGTGTCTGACAGGAACAAATGCAAATGCTCTGAAGATAGCATCGTCTTAGGCTTCAAGTGATTTCTGAGAACAACTTGATGAAATGTATGGTAATCATTCAAAAAAACAAAATTAATAATGTCTAGACAAAAGGTAAGATGATATGAAGGAAAATGAGCAAAAACAACAGATAATAGAAATAGACCTATAGGGACTTCAAATACTGGTGTTATCAAACTTAAAATATATATATTTACTATGTTTAAGGAGATAGATGATAAGGTTGAGAATTTCAAAAGAAAACTAGAAACAAAGTATTTCAGTTTTGATAAGTTATCCCAGTAATAGAATAAAAGAAAAAATTAGATGCAGAGAAATATTTGATAAAATTTATCTATTATGGGTTTAAAACAAAACTCTTAGTAAATAAGGGATAATGGGGAATTTTCTTAGTCCAATAAAGGATAGCTACCAAAAACCCGCAAACAGCATACTTAGTGATGAAATGCGAGATTGAACTCTCTGAGATTAGGAACAAGGTAAGACTATTCTATCACCTTCTATTCAACATTGTACTAGAGGTCCTCGCAGTAAAGCTATAAGAAAAATAAAAGGTATAAGGATTGAAAAGGAAGAAATAAAACTGTCATTACCTAAAATGAATGATTGTATATATAGAAAATGAAAGAACAATCTACATTTTATGTTAGTAGAGTCAATATATAAATAGCAACCAACAAAAAATAAAGGTAGAAAAATACTATTTACCATAGCACCAGAAGATATTAAATTCCTAGGAGTAAATCAAACAAAACGTATATAGTGCCTAAAACATTATTGAGAGAAAAATTAAAGAAGACCTAAATAAATGAAAGGGCATGCCATATTAACTGATTAGAATATTTAGTACTATAAAAATATATTTGCCCCAAATTGATTTATGGTTTCAAAGCAATTACAGTAAAAATCCCAAAGGGTTTTTATTTTTGCAAATTGACTAACTGATTATATTATTTATGTGGAGATGTAAAGCACTTCCAAGAATAGCCAAGACATTCTTAGGGAACAAGATTGGTAGATTTGCTTAACAAAATATCACAGTATATTAAGAAGTCATATAAAGTAATTAAGACAATAGAGTATTTGTGCAAATAGAGATAATTAAGCCAGTGGAATAGATTAGATAGCCCAGAAACACACCCACACACACTTAGATACATGACTAATATGGCACTACTGAAGGGTTGGGAAAGGAAGGTCTTTTCAATAATTTATATCAGGACAATTAGAGATGCATATGGGAAAAAAGAAAATATTACCCACCTCATACCAAATATAGAAATCAATTCTGGGTGAATAGGAGATTTCAATGTGAAAGGCAAAACAATAAAATTTCTTAATTGTAACATAATTTTAATCTTGTAGTAGGGAAAGATTTCTTTAGCAGCACACAAAAAGCAGTAATTGTTTCAAAAACTGATAAATTTAACTACATTAAAATGGAGAGTTTATGTTCCTCAAAAAATACCAATAAGAGAGTAAAAAAAAAGGAAAGGACAGAGTGGTAGAAGATGCTACTACAGAAATCAACTAAGAACTCATGTCCAGAATATCTAAAGAACACTCTCAAATCATTTTTAAAAATAAGCAAGAAACTTGAATGGGCATTTTACAATAGAGGATATCCAGAAGGCCAATAAACATATGAAAAGGTGCTCAGCCTTTTTAGTGATCAGGGAAGTAAAAATTATAACCACAATGAATTGCTCTCACCTACCAGGATGATTACTATGTTGGTGAAAATATGGAGCAATAGGAAATATACTGTTAGTGACGTGCTCACTTAGGAAAATAGTTTGGCATAACCAAATATACCAGGTTGTGCCAAAATAGTACGCATATATGCACAAGGAGGTAAGAATGTTCATAACAGCATAATCCACGATAGCTAAAAATAAACCCAGACGTCCATCTATAGGAAATTGGGTAAATAAATTATGTCGTATTTTTACAATGATTTGAATTCTGTTTAGTAAAAATTAATGAACTAAGGTTATAAATAACAAGGATAAGTCACATAAACATAATTTTGAATGTTTGAATTCAAACACAAAAGAATGCATATTATGTCATTTCATTTATATGAACATTAAAAATACCAGGCAAAACAAAACTGTTTAGGGATGCCTGCCTTGCAATAAAACTAAAGAAAACCATAACACTGAAAATAGTGGCTTTTTTGGTCGGGAAGGGATAGGATATTTATAGGGAAGGTGCTTGCTAGGTTCTGACAATGCTGTTTCTTGACCTGGGTGGTGGTTACATGTGTGTTCACTTTATGAAAATTTTTGAACTGTACGTTTTGGTTTTTTGTAGCATTCTCTGTGTGTTAGAGTTCACAGTGAAAAAATAATTTAAAAGAACACCAACAGGACTCCTAGTAAAGAATTCCTGCGTATCTTCCTATGGGCAAGAAAAAAGAAGTGATATTCTGGTTGTGGTAGTTTTCAGAGGTTTTTCTCTGGCCTGTTTGGTAAAATAGAGGGTATATTCATTCAGGCCATCACAAAAACTCTGAAGGATGAACCCCAACCCTCTTGGTATGCCCCTGCCTGTAGCCTTGCTCAGAACTTTGTATTTTATTCTAAGTGTGATGGAAATTCTCTGGAGGGTTGAGAACAGAGGAGTGATGTGGTTTGATTTTTATTAACTATATTGTGGATGTGTGTTGTTTTTTTAAATTTATAGGTATGTTCAATCAAAAAAGTTTGGAGACAATTAGATTAGGGAATAGTATGAGGAAATTATTTTACTAAGAAGAAACCCAATGTCTTTCTTAAACGAGAAATCATTACACAAATAAGTCCATGGTCTGAATGAGAAGATATATGCCGAAAGTTGCAATATGAGATGGTTTTAATCAAGAATAAGCATGTCTGTAGTTGAGCTTGTCCCATCTGGCATTTGTTGCTTAAGGGTTATGTGATCACTTTCAGTAATTTGATTTAGGAAAAGTCTTGTCTACAAGATAGTTTCTAAGAATCACTTTCAACTCTATGATTCCTCCCTTCTTAAATTATCTTTTTAAAATTATGTATGTAAGTGGATTTGTTTAAAGAACTAAACTTTGCACAGTCACCTTAGTGTCCATGAAGTTGAACAGTGTCCATGTCAGTCAGGAGGTTTCAAACTGGCAGCCTGTGGGCAGAATGTGGTGACATATGTGCTTTGTTGGCTGGGATGGTGCTTCAAAAGAGTCAAAGTCCATGTTTTTCAAGTCAGGGCTTTATACAATACTCTAGATTTATATCGTCTCACACAAAATTGGAAGATATAGCGACACTGGGCCTATATTTCCACAAGGCAACAATCAACTGGGATTGAGTTGGGGCAGCCACCTTTGGATGAGGCATGTCCTTTCCGGCCACCAGAGTCCCCCCATACTGTTCATTTATATTATACTTTATGTAGTAGGTTTACATTATAAACCTAATCCCTATAGGTATTTAATTTGGGGGCATCTGGGTAGTTCATATACCTTCATAATATCCTTTTTCCTTTTCACTTTTCTAGGAATCCCCCTACCCAGAAGACAAAGGCCGCCGATTTGTCCTTTCTTATTTTCTAGCCACTGACATGATCAGTATCTTTGAGCCTCCTGTTCGCAATTCTGGTATCATTGGGGGCAAGTACCTTGGCAGAACAAAAGTTGTCAAACCACACTCTTCAGTGGAAAACCCCATCTACTATGGCCCTAGTGACTTCACTATTGGCGCTGTGATTGAGGGTAGGTCTAAACACAGTTTAGGCTTTCCAGCTAGCCAAGTGGATTTAATTTAATTAACCCTTGTAAATGGGTTAAGCTGCATTCCAGCAGAGACAAAGTAATAATATTACAGATGTGGTCCAGTGTTTAATCTCCTTCCTTATCAATTAAACTGTAAATTGGTTGCTTTTTTTTTCTTTTTTTGGCTATAAATATAGACCCTGAGCTTCCTAACACTGAGCAAATGACTGCATATAAGTTTACAGAGTTATTGAAAGTTCATTAGTCTAAGTCACAAATGCATGTCTGTATTTCTCACTGGAGGATCGGTATTATTTTACTCCTGACTGCATGATAAAAACATAACCAAGGTAAGTGTATTTCTGCCTTCTCCCCAGTGTTTGGCCACCGGTTCATTATCACTGATGCAGATGACTACGTCTTGAAATATATGGAGAGCAATGCTGCCCAGTATTCACCAGAAGCACTCTTGTCGATTCAGAACCATATGAGAAAGCGAGAATCTCCTGCACCAGAATTGCAAAAGTATGTTTGATTGTCTAGGGAGCATTTTGACTTTGACACATATGAAATATTTAGGAAATAGTTCTTGATAAATTGAATGCGTAATCCCATTTTAGACTTTCAGATTTCCCTCACCAAGTAGGAGTTATTAGTCATACACAGAAGGCTTTCTGGGTCCAATATAACAATCAGTATCTTAGAACATTTTCAACTTTATTTATTTAGCAAGTAATTATTGAATGTCTAGTATGGGTCAGATACTGTCACTAGGCTGTTGGGCTTTTTCAGTAAACAAAATAGAAAAAAAGTCTTTCTTCATGGAGTTAACATTCTAAGCAGTGGGAGATAGTCAATAAACAACACAAGTAAATTATATAGTATATTAGGTGATGAGTGCTATGGAAAAGTGGAGGATGGTGGTAGATTGCAATTTACTGGGGAAGTGACACCTTGAGAAGGTGACTTGAAGGTAAAGGAGGTAGCCATGTGGATATCTGGAGGAAGAGCATTCTGGGGAGAGGGAATGGTGAGTGCTAAGGCTCTGGGCGGCAGCATGCCTAGTCTGGCAAGTAGCCAGTGAGAGTGGCTGGAATGGAGTGAGGGAGAGGCAGAGGAGTGGAAGATGGAGTTAGAAAATTAACAAGGGGCCGACTGTGTAGGGCCTACTAGATCTTTGAAAAGATGTTGGCTTTTCATTGTGGGGTTCTGAGTAGAAGTGGCGAGATTTGACTTAGGTTTTAAAGAGTTATTGTGTTATGAACAGATTAGGAGAGAAGTTAGAATACTGCCATAATCCAAGCAAGAAATGATGGCACAGGGTAGTGTCAGTGAAGAGGGGGAGAAGCGTCTGATTTTGGATATGTTTTGAAGATAGATTACCCAGGGGATATAAGAGAGAAAGCAGTTAAGGTGACTGCATGGTTTTTGGCCTGAACAACTGGAAGGAAGGAGTTGCCATCATCTGAGATGGGGAAGGTGTTCATTTGGGGTAGAGGGGGTTTTTGGGGATAGGGGAGGATTTCAGTTTTGGATATACTAGGTTTACGATAGCTATTAGATATCTAAGTGGAGGTGTCAGGTAGACTGTGGGATGTATAAATCTGGAGTTCAGGCTGGAGATGTAAATGCGGGAGTTGTTGGCATATAGATGATATTTTAAGCCACAGGACTGGGTGAAATCTCTAAGGGAGTCAGTGTAGATAAAGAAAAGAAGAGCTCCAAGGACTGATGTCTGAGGTTCTCCAACACTCAGTTGAGAAGAGGAGACTGAGGAGAACTGGTGAAGCAGGGAGAACCAAGCGGGTGTGGAATCCTGGAAACCAAACAAGGAAAGTATGGTCTTCCCTCGCACAGCAGTGGGGGACTGGCTATAACAGTGAGCGTGCACGCAATCTTGGTAGTCAGTGGGAAGTTTACTATTGTTCTGTGACCTTTAAAAATTATTGTATAAACAAGGAAACCTCTGGTGGTAATAAATATGTAGGGAAATGAAAAAATAGTAAAACTAATTTTCATTTAGTACACTGTAAAACATTGGCAGCATTGAGAATTAAAATGTTTTATTTCTTTGTAAAAAAACTTACCAAGAGTAGTTTGTACAGTGCTTGCATTTTCTCATCGTATAACTTATGATACAGAGCAAACATCTTTTCTATGCCTTGGCAAATGCTCATATTCCTTTTGAAGTTTGGATTAGCTTCCAACATTTTATTATTTTTGCTTTCAGTGTTGTGAAGTATCTCCTAGAGTTTCTTTACTGACAGTGAAGTATCTCTCTGAAAGTTCTTTTAACAGGCAGATTTTTGCTAGCATCTGGGATATGTCCATCTTTTCCATTACAGTCACTTTCCTCACTTACGTCAGTAAGTTGGTCTTCACTGAGTTCCGTGGGCTCCACACCAAGAGTCACTTGAACGGTGGCAGTGTTAGCACCCCCACAGTCAGCTGTTTCTTCTGTAACTCCATTATGTTGGATTCAAATTGTACTTTTAGAATTATCACATTTTATTTCTTTGCTGCACTTTCATCTTTGTTAGTTCTCTTTTTTGTAAAATGTAGCATGGGTTTATCACTGAGAGACAAGGAAGCAACTTAGCGAGCTGCACGCTTGCTGTCTAAGTGTGAACTGAAAAACAGATGCCCAGTGGCCAGTCACCAGCAGACTTTGAAAGAAGTGATCTGATGGTCACTGATTGTGATATGCATCTGTTATTTATGTAGCAATTTAGTGGACTGACAACCTGACAGTGAGTTGCACTTTATGCAGTAACTCACAGCTAATAAATGGTGGTAACTGAAATTTGAACCATGTTGTTGAGAGACTGGGTTATTTAAACAGTGGTAACTGAAATTCCTGCACATCGGAACTGTGCAAAGAGAATTGTCTGTGTATCAAAGACGACAGAATAATTCATTTTGTCCAGTGGGGATTTAGCAATGTAGGAAACATTGGGCACCTTAATGAAGAGTTTCAGCTGAATGGGAGGGTAGGGAAACCTGATGGGAGTGAATTTAAGAGAGGAATTCAAGAATGGAAAGATAGACAAATCTTTTGAGAAAGCTTGGTGCAAAGGGCAACAGAAATGGGGCAGTAGCTGGTAGAGAGGAAGTAGGGTTAAGAGAAGAGTTTTGTTTGTTTTAAAAAAGCATGTTCATATGTGAATGGGGATGGTTCTATGGAGAGAGAAAACATAGAGACTGTGTGTAAGGGAGGGTGGGGTTCAGTACACAAGGGAGGAACTGGCTTTAGATAGAAGCACTAACCGCTCATCTCCGGCAGCAGTTCTCAAACTTTTTGGTCTCAGGGCACCCTTATACTCTTACAAATTATTCAGAACCTGAAAGGGTTTTTGTTTATGTGGTTTATATCTATTAAATGTACCATGCTAGAAATTATATCTGACATTTAAAATATTTATTAATGTTTTAAAAACAATAATAAACTCATTTCATTTTAATGTAAATAACATGATTTTATGAAGAATAACTATATTTTCCCTAAACAAAAAAAATTTAGTAAGAAGAGTAGCATTGTTTTATAAATTGTTCTGCAAACCTCTTTAATATCTGACTTTATTACTAGAAAATAGCTCTATTTTCATCTGCTTCTGTGAGGAGCCTACTGTGATATCACTGACCACGTAACCTTTGGAAAACTCCACTGTGCATTTGTGAGAAAACGAGTTTTAAAGCAAATAATGATTTTGTATTATTATTTTAAAAATAGTTTTGACCTCACAGACCCCCAAAAGGGTCTCAGGGACCTCTACATGTCCTGGGGTTACTCTTTGAAAGCTTGATCTGTGGTAACAGTTAGGAAGGTGGACTGTGTGGGTACAGATGCTGGTAGAAATGGTTGAGGGGGTTTGCTGGTTGTGTTTTCAGTGTAGTAGTACAGCAGGAAAGAATGAGGTTGGGCAGATGTTGGAGGTTTTAGGAGAGAGTCATGAAATGCTCTATTCTATTGACTATATAAATAAAATGAATGAATATAAAAATAAAATGTAAATATATTGCATTATTTTATCTATTACTATGAAAGAAAAAACTGTCAATTATAATTGTAATTCATCATCAGTTAAAAAAATGCATGCTGAATTCAGAGATGTAAAAAATGTGGGGAAAAATGTTATGGCAGCTGTCTGGGAAAGGGGGAGGGGGAGTGGACTGGAGAAGCATGGCTGGCAGCATTGAGGGCTGAATTGAGATTCATGCTCATACATTAATTAATTCAAGCACTGCTCAGAATTTTTTTCTGTAATTTTTTCATGTCTCTGCAAATACCAGCAACACTGGAAAGCTTCTAGCTTTGGCATACTACCAGTAGAATCTTTTTAAAATTATTTTTCTCTGATTTAGTAATAATAAAAAGATGGTGCTGTGGCTCTCAGAATGAGATTCCAATACAGATAAAGAGAAATTCAAGTTCTGTGTTGAGAGATCCATTGCTGTCCTTATTTTGATCCTTGCCGCCTCCTGTGATGAGTCAGAGGAGAGAGAGAAAATGCTTGGAATCCAAGTGTCAGGCCTTCCATGTCTTCCAGCCTTTCTGTCTTTGGCTTCTAACTCCTCTCATCTGGTAAAGAATCCATCCGCTAGAAGGAAAAACAAATCGTTTATTTGACTAATCATTGCTAAGAGTAATGAGAGGGGGATCTCCAGTACTCGTCAGGCGCAGTATTTTTTACAAGTGTCAATTACAGGACGGTGAAATTGGGTGTTAGCCATTTCCTTTTGCTGAGCCAGAAAATTCAAATAGTGCATAGGTAATTGAATATTGACTTCATCTGAGTTCTTTTTGGGTTTGAGGTCCTCATTGCAATATACTGAACTCAGACTTACAGATAACAAATGCTTATTAACCCCTCTATGGAGAATCTACATGTGTGAATAGCATAAAAACACATGTGTTCCTGTATATTGTTCTTGTTCTGTTAACATGCCCATTTGTGCTTTTCAGCTTCAAGAGGGTACCCCCCACCCAAGGGTCCTTTTAATCCTCTCTCTTTCCCAGCCACCTTTCCCATTGAGACATTTCCAAATATTCTCATTTCTTTGTCCATTTTCTTCAAGCCTCAAGCTCTTCCACGTTCACTTTGCAGCTGGTCTCAACGTGAGAACCAGCGATCCAACATGAGCTGCATCCGTCTTCGTCCTCTGTGCATTAGAATGTTTTTGTACAATCGCTCATTCTCTCTTTGTAAGTAGCCCCATTTCTCCACATTTAATTCTTCTATTTTATGTTTGTAACTGCCTCTCTTCTGACTTCTCCTTATAATTCTTCACAAATTGCTTTCTTGAACATTATTGTTTCCAAATCTAATGGTCTCTTGTCATGTATTCATTATTTCAATGGCTATTTGAGCTCACACCGTCTGCCAGACCTTAATAAATGCTCAGGCAAATATAGGAGAGAATAGGGAGCTCGTAGTCGATGGCAGGAGTTGTCAGGCTTTTTTGTAAAGAAGTAGGTAGTAAATAATTTAAATTTTGTAGGCGATACCGGCTCTGGTGTAACTATT